ACTCAAAAGAGCAAAATGTTAGTGTTAAACAGCGAAAAGGACTATTTAAAAAAAGAAAAACTGAAAAGAGCAAAACGGTAGTATTAAACAGCGAAAAGAATTATTTAAAAAAAAAGTTTAATCAATATGTAATTATTGCGAAATTTTTAGCCACTCTGATTAGTGATGTAATTTGGTTTCGTCCAATGGAGAACGTTATTTGTATTCGTCAATGGGAAGTGTGGGGAGAAATTAGTAAACCCCATCATGACATAATTATGACCCGATTGCATAATTTAATGTATAATTTAATAATATTATGATTACTAAAATTCAAAAAATACAAAACAAAGCCTTACGTTCGTGGAAAGCCTCCGTTAAAAGAAATCCATTTAAGCTTTACAAAAAGTTGCTATACCAGATAAATATGATTGAATAACTTGACAAAACCGTAATTATTGCGATGAAGTCTGTGTTGATTTAAAAGGTCATTTATTAAAATGTAAAAAACTTCGAAGAAATACTGCATATAAGATTTATTAAAAGCTCAGAAACAAAATTCTAGTTCTTCAAATGATTCATTCGCAAAAACAAATTCAATGAGGTTTTTTATAGAGGTAATACTGTAAACCTTGGACTATCAATACCAAGAAATGTAAAATTAATATAGAATGATAAGAGCTTCGGCAAAATCTCTGCATCAGACGCCAATGTTTTTTAAAAAAGTCTAAAAAACAGTTTTAAACTTTCTTTTTTTTTACCAACCCTAACTAACGCTTATAAATCCGGTTATTATCTATAAAATGAGACTGATTCATATTTAATACTGTATCATATATCTATTTGTTTGGTTCATGTGTAAATTTATGTTAGACAGTTTCGTCAGCTAGCAGACTTTAAACATAAAAAAAGTTCCAAATACGTATAAATTAGGTATTACACTAAACGTGTTTTCTAAAAATGGAGGAGGCTTTTCAATCATGAAATTTTGCCGAGAATTTAAATCACTAAAGTCTGAATTTATTTATTCGAAACAAAGAACATCAAAAACTTGAGGAGAACCCTAATTTCCCACACCAGTTGTGATTGGACACATGAAACACCGTCTTCAATTGGGTAAACTAGATCACCCACCTTAGCACAGCCGCAAAATCAAAAAAAAAACATCGGTTTTTTCTTCAAATAAAACGAAATAATCTAAACATTAACAAAATAAGTGCTTCTAGAAAATTTTATAAAGTCTTTTGTTCGGTACTTTATTCTCAAGTGAATAAATTTTGCTGAGACCTACGTTTACAAGCTTGTAATTTTAAAAAATACCCAACTCGGTTTCAAAATTCCTTAATTATATTCTAGCCGCAATTTTACTTTTGCTTAAAAAATAATTATTAATAAATTCATTATATTGATACTGTTACAATACCACAAATAAATAAAATGCTACTGCAAATTTCTAATTAATAGTTTTTTTTTTTTTTTTAAATACTAATACAATAATATACTCAAGTTTTCAAAAACCATTTTCCAAAAAGAAAAAATAATTAGTCAGTATTAAGTTCTTTCGGGAAAATAGCTTTCGGAAATCGTACAGTAACCCTGATACAATATTTCAATAGGTGCTAGTTTTCTAATTAATAATGCTGAAAATCTGATATGAAATATGAATACAATGATTTAGAATTGCCAAATGATGCTGGTATTTCTCAAATTGAAGAAGCAACGGAGAAACTTTCTACCAACGGTCAAGAAGCTCAACAGAATACTGTGGCAAAATTGGAAAATAACTCAACAAATAATGAAATAATCGTGGTTATGTATTTTTCTTCGAAAAATTTAGCCAAATTACAGACAAAATAATTGAAATTCCATTCAAAAACCCTTCCGTCGAACTTTTTCAATTTTTTTGTTTGAAAAACGACAACTCCACCTAGTAACAATCGATCAACATAATGGATCGATTCGGCTAAAATTAAGTTGCTAAATAATTAATAAATTTTTATACACTTACAAAACAAAATAAAAGCAAAACAAAAAAAAAATTTTAATACTTATTTTGTTTTCATATTTTCGTATAGCGGTATGATTTAAAGAAGCTGGTATTATAAAAATTTTTTGGCGAAAATTTATTTAAACGTGCACACGAAATTATTATTAAAAAGCTGAAACCCAAAAGAGCAAAACGTCGAAATTAAAAATTTCGAAAAGCATAGATACGATTGGTCATGTGATTGGAAGAAGTCAAAGGTGTCGGAGATAATTTGAATTGAACGATGATATGCACCCGGGGAATTAGCAAGTGACCAGGTATCATAATTTCATGCGCATGGAATGTTTCGAATTGGCTTAAAATTTTGGCATTAAAGCACTAAAAAATCATGCGCATGTCATGCACATTGCACAACACTAGGTATCATCGTAACTGTAGAATGGGTGAAAAGCAGTATCAGCTGGTAGTTTCCCGCCTGCTCGAAGCAGGCCGGCTGTTAAATAAGAAAATAGCAGAATAAGTAGAGTGTTCCCCTGCGTGTGGTTGGAAGGGTTGGTCGAGAAAATGACGGTTATAATTCTTGATTGTGTTGCAAGGGGAAATAGAAGAGTGTTGTGAATTGATTTATTCATTCATCGCTTCTTTTATATTGATTAAGGTAGGTGGCTTTTCTGTTACGTAGCTGTGTTCGTATAAAAAACCGATGTGGTCTGATGTCTCTTTTCTGTTGTGTAGTTGTGTTCGCATGAAAATTGATATGCTCCGATGTCTCTTTCGGGGCAGGGTTGTAGCACGTGGTGTGTAGCCCGACCATTCTTACCTTACTTTACGATTAGTTGACTTTTTGTCAACAATGTAATCATTGCGAAAAAAAGTAATTTTTCTTTAATTGCGGCACATTAGATGGTTACATAAAATTTTTAGCCACCCTGATCATAATGTATAATTGATTTCGTCCAATGGAAAATGGGGAAATTAGTAAATCCGAATTTGAGATCAACACTACAGTAAACGATAATAGTAGTGTTGTGTTACATATAGTGTCATATAATAACAACAAGAAAAATTAATAAATATTTTCCGGAGGTACCTGTTGAAGACCATATCCATGTTATTATATCTTCAGGAAAATCAAGCGAAGATCAAGCACTTCAAACCTTGGAATTACAAAAGATCTATAATGATATACATGGTAAAGTATTTTAATAAATATCATTATTTAAAAAAAAAATCATTTAAAAAAAAAACAATTATTTAAATAAAAAAAGATCAAAAAATATATAAATTTATACTAATTCACCATCATAATCTATTGCAGAATTTGTTGTTTTGGTAAATCCTAAACGTACTAAAACATTTAAATGAGTTACGAATATCAAACAAACGACCCTTGGAACACTTAAAGAATCAATCGTCTCAATTTACAAGACCCCGGAGCTTGAAAACAACGGTACGATTCTTAATTTCATGTCAGACAGTGGGAAGTATTTTTCCCAAAATGATATAGAATTTCATGATATGCTTAGATTATTCATAAATAAGAAGAACCTTGAATTTACCATGAATATAGAGACTTCGAAGCCTTTCTCCAATTGGATGTTTACTAAAATGTGTAGGCAATACAAGATTGGAGAATATGATGATCCATCATTGAATACATTTCCCAATTTTGATTGCCAAAGCATGGATTTAAACAATCAAAATTTGAAATTAATAGTTGAGCACCTTGTTGCCGAACTAAAATTATGAAGCAAGGTCATTCCAATAAGTAGGAATGAGGCTTCAAGAAATTTGTTTGCTAGTGCATTTCTTGTTGCAGCAACAAACAATTTTCCCAGTAAATTTGAGGTTTGACCTGAGAAATACATTGCTAGGCCTAATAGACACAGATTTGTGGATTACGGGTTAGTCTTGTCCCAAACTTCGAAATTGGTGGGTATTGTAGAAGTTAAAAACAAAGATTTTTTGTTAGGCATTGCACAAAGTGTTGTGCAATGCGAGTCATCTTTAAATAACAAAGAAAGGGTATTTAGAATTGTAACTGACGCAGAAAAGTGGTATTTTTTGGAGTGTAAATTGGATAATTCTATGCTCAAGGTTAAATTATCCAAACCAAAAATTGTTATATATGAAGATCGTAACATGAAGGGTATGGTAAAAAATGTACTTGGCCATATTACATAGTTACTTAATGAGTTTGTAGAATAGATTCAATTTAAAATATAGATTAATTATTAAATATTAAAAAATTAATAAAGGTTAATTACAAAATCCAAAATAAAATAAATAACATATTTACCGGTATTTCAAAATAGCACATACAAATTCTATTTTTTTTTTAAAAAATATGTATTTACAGTATTTTACGTACAAATTTTATTTTTTTAAAAAATATGTGCTTATTTACATAATTGCTTACTGATGAATGTTTATAAAAAAATAAAGTTAATTTATCACCAGTTACACTTAATTAATTTTGATTCAGATTTTTTAATCTTTTAAAACCCATTTTTTTTGAAAAATGTTAATTCTAAAACCCCATCAGTAAACGATAAGTACATACTATAAAAAAAATAGAATTTATACATTGCTTCTTTTAAAATAAATACGTCACTTATTTTATCTAAATCGGACGCCGAATAATTAATTCTGAAACCCCCAATATTGTTTTTAGAGTTTGGTAAGATCGTAAAGTTGAAATTGTATTATTTGAAATTGGATCATTTAAAATCGTAATATTTAGTATTATATTGTAGTATTAAGGGTTTCAGAATTAAAAAAAAATAGTGTATTTTGGAAATAAATAAGAGTTTAAAAAATCTATTTGTATATCAAAATTTTGAAATTGGAAAATGAAATGGAAGTGTTTAGAGACTCCCATTTGATAAAATAAGTAAAAGCTTATTTATTATGCAGATTAACAGAATATTTAATAACAAACAAGAAACGTATCAGGCAAACACATCGCTAGCCTGGTGCCAAACATGCGACCCTCAGAAAACAACACAAGGATGGACAAGTGGAAATAAAGATATCGATAATCGCATTAAAGAATTGCAACTTAAAGCCACAGAATATGAAGATATAATCGAGTGGATTCCTTTTAATAGATTAAATAATATTCAAAGTAATGGTGATGGATTTTTAGCGACCTTGTTAGATGGAATACGTTATGTAAATGATGATTATGAAGCTGAAGATAAATATAGATATACAAAGTCACGTACACCATCATGCGTAGTGGAGCTTAAAATATTTAGCTCACCAGATATATTAAAGGAAGTAAGTTAAAATATTTAAATTATCATAAATAAATGCATAGTATGCAATTTTATTTTAATTTATATACATGTTTAATAAGTTTACAGATTAAGTACAATTAAAAAGTAGCGATTTCAAAGTATATGGACTTACTCAAGACAATACAACAAATGCATATATGTTAGTATTTGATGAATTTGGTTCTAAAAGAAATATAAAGAATGGAAATTGTTCAAATTGCAACCGATATAACACATCAGAAGCTTGGTGTCAAATTTGTGACCCTCAGAAAATAATACAAGGATGGACAAGTGGAAATAAAGATATTGATAATTGCATTAAAGAATTTCAACTTAAAGCTACAAAATATGAAGATGTAATCGAATGGATTCCTTTCGATAGATTAGATAATATTCAAAAGAATGGTGACAAGTTTTTAGCAACGTGGCTAGATGGCGTACGAATGATCACATACGAGAAGAAAGAATATATACAGTCACGCATACCATGCACAATTACACTTAAAATACTGACCAGTTCACAAAATTTATTTAATATTTTAAAAGAAGTAAGGTTATATTATTTTTATTACATGTAACTTATTAATTAAATTTAACGTTTACACATAAATTCTACTTATATTTTTTATATATAAGTTTATAAATCATATGCGATTAGAAAGAAAAAATGTTTATGGATTAACTCAAGATATAACTACAAATGAATATATGTTGGTATTTGATGAATTTGGCTCCGAAAGAGGTTATTGGAATGGAAAATGTGCAAATTGCAACCGATATAACACATGGCTAGCTTGGTGTCAGACATGTGACCCACAGAAAATAATACAAGGATGGGAAAGTGGAAATAATGATGTCGTAGTTGTATTAAAGAATTTCAACTTAAAGCTACAAAATATGAAGATGTAATAGAGTGGATTCCTTTTAATAGATTAGATAATATTCAAAATAATGGTGATGGATTTTTGGAAACCTGGTTAGATGGAAAACGTTATGTAAAATCTAATAAAGATGTGTATGGTTATACACATTACACACAGTCACGCATACCATTATGCATAGTGGATCTTAAAATTTTTAGTTCACAAAGCCTATTATATATATTAAAGGAAGTAAGTTAAAATATTTAATTGTCATACTAACGCATAGTTTGCAGCTTTATTTAATTTATATTTACATGTTTAATAAGTTTACAGATTATGTACAATTAAAAAGTAGCGACTTCAAAGTATATGGACTTACTCAAAACAATACAACAAATGCGTATATGTTAGTAATTGATGAATTTGGATCTAAAAGAAATATAGAGAATGGAAAATGTACAAATTGCAATCGATATAACACATCAAAAGCTTGGTGTCAATTATGTGACCCTCAGAAAATAATACAAAAATGGACAAGTGGAAATAAGGATGTCGATAATTGTATTAAAGAATTTCAACTTAAAGCTACAAAATATGAAGATGTAATCGAATGGATTCCTTTTAATAGATTGGAGAATATTCAAAGTAACGGTGATGGATTTATAGCGATCTGGCTAGATGGAATACGTTATGTAGATTATTGGTATAAAGACAAAGATGAATATGGACGTACGCCATCATACGTAGTGGAGCTTAAAATATTCAGCTCACGCATTTTATTAGATATATTAAAGGAAGTAAGTTAAAATGTTAAATTATCAATTAATGCATAGTATATAGCTTTATTTTAATTTATATTTGCATTGTTAATAAGTTTACAGATTATGTACAATTAAAAAGTAGCGATTTCAAAGTATATGGACTTACTCAAAACGACACAACAAATGAATATATGTTAGTATTTGATGAATTTGGTTCTAAACGAAATAAAAAGTATGGAAAATGTACAAATTGCAACCGATATAATACATCGCCAACTTGGTGTCAAATATGTGACCCACAGAAAACAACGCAAGGATGGACAAGTGAAAATAGGGATGTCGATAATTGTATTAAGGAATTTCAACTTAAAGCTACAAAATATAATGATATAATAGAATGGATTTCTTTTAATAGATTAGATAATATTCAAAATTATGGTGATAGATTTTTGGCAACCTGGTTAGATGGAATACGAAATGTAAATTATAATGATAAAGCTGAATATGGATATAGATATACACAGTCACGTACACCATGCATACTGGAACTTAAAACCTTTAGTTCACAAAGCTTATTATATATTTTAAAGGAAGTAAGTTAAAATATTAATTCTCATATTAATGCATAGTATACAGCTTTATTTTAATTTATATTGCATGTTTAATAAGTTTACAGATTATGTACAATTAAAAAATAGCGATTTAAAAGTATATGGACTAACTCAAAACGACACAACAAATGAATATATGTTAGTATTTGATGAATTTGGTTCCAAAAGAAATCAGAGCCTTGGAAAATGTGCAAATTGCAACCGATATAACACGTCGAAAGCTTGGTGTCAAATATGTGATCCTCAGAAAATAACACAAGGATGGACAAGTGGAAATAAAGAAATCGATAATTGCATTAAAGAATTTCAACTTAAAGCTACATACTACGATGACGTAATTGAATGGATTCCTTTTAATAAATTAAATAATATTCAAAAAATTAGTGATAGATTTTTAGCAACCTGGTTAGATGGAAAACGTTATGTATATTATAATCATGAACGTAGATATATATGGTCACGTATACCATCATGCGTAGTGGACCTTAAAATATTATCAGGTTCTCGGAATTCTATGGATTTTTTAAAAGTGAGTTGAATTTGGTTTATTTTTTGTTGCGCTTAATTTCAATTATTTAAGAACATATATGTTCATTTGTAAGTTTAAAGATCTCATACAATTAAAGGATAGTTTAATTAAAATATATGGATTAACTCAAGACTTCGCTACAAGCGAATATATACTTGTATTTGATGAATTTGCTTCTAAAAGAAATAAAGATTATAGAATATGTGCAAATTGCAACCGAGATAACTCATCGCCATCTTGGTGTCAGACATGTGACCCTCAAAAATTAACACAAGGATGGACGAGTGGAAACAAGGATGTCGATAATTGCATTAAAGAGTTTCAGCTTAAAGCTGCGTCGCATGAAGATGTGATCGAATGGATTCCTTTTAATAGGTTAGATAACATTCAAAAGATTGGTGAAGGGGGATTTGGCTCTGTGTATTCGGCAACATGACTAGATGGTAAAAGGACAGTCTTGGATGATGAATATAGTGGTAAATACAGACAATCCCGTACACCATCATGTGTAGTTGCACTTAAGACATTACCTGGTTCACAAAAGAATTTTTTAAGAGAAGTAAGTTAGGATGAATTATTTATGACTTAATATAAATAAATTACTAACGCTATAAATTTTATTTAAAAAGTTTAAAAATTATATAGAATTTAGATTGGTTGGTAGTAATCTTGAGGTGTATGGGCTAACTCAAAACACTACTAATAATGAACATTTAATAGTATTTCAATATGCAAATAAGGGAAGTCTTCATAAGTTCCTATTATCAAGTTTTAGTGAACTCAAATGGAAAAGTAAATTAAAGCAACTTGTCGATATATCAGAAAATTTAACAACAGTTCACAAAGCAGGATATGTTCATGGAGATTTTCATAGTGGTAATATATTGCAAAATCAATATATCAATGGTGATCTAATGTCTTATATCGCAGA